TAACAATCAAAGAATGCACATGCGGAATAGATAAATCACACATAACATAACCAATGACATTCCACAATGAAGTCCTTTCTCATGTAACCAAACCCTAGACCGCGAATTAACAACTTCCTTCCATTGTCTCTTTTACCTCACACGGTCCTAACCACAAAGGCTAAAAGACCAGTGATCCGGCATGTAATACACCGGCCCTAGGCTGCAATCCCGTTCTTCCAGATATTACAATCGGTAGTCATGGCCCTAGGATGCAATCCCGTTCCTTCGTGACTAGCGATATCTGGAAGTGTCAACCGCTCTCTACAATTGTTAGAACATTACATGATCCTCTTGATCACTTGTAACGCCTAACCTCACACACAACATAAAAGTTTACCTTTGACCCGCATGTATCTAGACAGATCACACGCGGATCTGCTTCCTCTTGAAATCCTGCATCCACGAAGGTTAGCGGCAAATACAAACATAAACATTCCATGACTCATGCAGCATGCAATCACACAATCAAACATCATGCACAAACAATCAAAGAAAATACTTAACCAAATTCCTAAAATTCTAGCAAGAACCTCCATGGCTATAAAATATAACAATAAACAAGCAATGTGTGCTCTACTCATCTAGAGCACGACAAGCATCACCATGACTCACCTTATTCAAACGGTTATGACTTAGACTCGGACTTAGGCTTAGAACAGATCTAGGTTCCTCGAGTACTCCACGATCTAACAAATTTTCCCTTTCCTTAAAACGGACAGAGTTTCGGCTTGAATCTCGATCATTCCAACCATCAAAACCTCAAAGGGTTGGATTCAAGATCAAAAGACGAAACTAAGTCAGATATAAAAGTTAGGATCGGAACGCCTTACCCTAAAAACTTCACGGCATTACTGGATAGTTCCCGACAACAGACCGCAGATTGGATCACGATCACGAACTATTTTGGTCAGAGGTTTGGAAACGTTTTCTATCTAACAAATGGGAGCTATTTGGTCCTATTTATAGGGTTAAGCAAGCATGTAGGCACAGTAGGACGGTCAAAAGTGTGTGTCGTGCTTCCCGATGAGTCGTTGCACACGGTCGCGACACCTCGTGCTTGCGGAGTTGTCGTGCTTGTGGATTTGTCGTAATTGCGGATTTTTCGTGCTTGTGGATTTGTCGTGCTTCCGATGACTCGTCACACAAGATCGCGA